GCACCCCCTTCCCTGTGCTCAGATGTCCCTGGGCCACTTGACCTGGGCCACAGCCAGCTGTAGGCTCCATCTTGCACCTCCGAGGCCATGAGGCCAGGTCAGGACCTCACTTTGATGCAGAGGACATTGGTCAAAGGGGAGCCAGTGCCCGCCTTGCCCAGGGCCGTGGGCTGAAGGCGGATGTTGGGCCGGCCCTGCCGTTCCCTGATGTGTGGGCTCCCAAGGGTGCTGGGCTGTGTGTGGGCTGCGCTCCCAGCCCTTGTGGCTGGGGTGGTGGACAGGGCCTGTCCTAGACCTTGCAGCCGCCTCCTGGCATCCAGCCAGTCCCGGCTCTGGGCCCCGAGATACATTTCACGGGTCAGAATCCTCTTGAAAGGAGATCAGGGGTCACAGCCTAGTTGGAGGTGTGGATGGAACCCTAGGACAGAGGGTGCTGTCCATGGGGGCCCACCCTGGCCAAGCACCCCCCATTGTTCTTGCTGCCACTGTTTTTCTCCTGGCCTTGGGTCTGACCCTTGGCTCCTGGGAGCCCACAGGGATGTGAGGAGCTGGGTTGGGTCCATGCATGGGGGACAAGCATGGTACTGGCTGGCTGGGCCTGGGGCCAGGAGGTAACCCTTGACCCCAAGCCAGAAGGGACAAGCACAGTGACCATAGCAGCTGTCTCTGAGAGCCCATGCCCAGTGGCAGCTGAGCAGTTTGCCCCCCACCCTCTATGGTGAGCCTTCTTACCTGGGGTGTGGAAGGCAGACGTAGCTGATGGCATGTCCTAAGAGCACGTGACCTCCATGGCTGCAGTGGCAGTCACATCAGCTGTCATGCACTAAGTGGTCAGCTGACAATGGAGCCAGGTCATGTGATGTAAACCCCTGTTACTGTGCCCACAACCCCCAGCTTGGCATTAGAACCAGCGTCGTTCCGGGGGTATCAGCCCAAGGCAGCTTCAGATGCAGAGTATGGAGAGAACTCCAACAGCAAGAGTGATGTGATATGTCAGCCTGGATGACACCCCTGCCTGACATCTGTGAAGACAAGAGGAAGATGGACCTGTCAGGGGCACATTGATGCCGTGGTGGCTGCCAGAGGCGGAGGCCAGGAGGCCCGACCCAGAGTGACGGCTAGAGTGCCGTGTCGTCAGCCTAGCTCACAGCAACCTCAAACTCCTGGGCTCAAGCGATCCTCCTGCCTCAGCCTCCCGAGTAGCTGGGACTACAGGCATGCACCACCATGCCCGGCTAATTTTTTCTATATATTTCTAGTTGGTCAATTAATCTCTTTCTATTTTTAGTAGAGATGGGGTCTCGCTCTTGCTCAGGCTGGTCTTGAACTCCTGACCTTGAGAGATCCTCCCGCCTTGGCCTCCCAGAGTGCTAGGATTACAGGCGTGAGCCACCACGCCTGGCCACTCGGAGGGTTTTAAGTCTTCGTGCCTTTATAGACATTTTCTACTTTCACAAAAACTGGCACCCGGTACGTGTGGCCTTGTGGCTTTTCTCCTGAGCTATGTCTCCTTGTCCTCTGTTGGGCTTAGGATGGGGCGACAAACAACACCTGGCCTCCTCCCCAGAGCACAGAACAAATGGAAATAGGAGACTCGGGGCGGGATCTGGAGGCGGGGACTGGGCTGCTGCAGCGGCTGTGCCTCCCTGGGGACGGATGGACAGACGGATGGCTCTCTCCTCTTCCTCCAGGGTCCTGGGGTGGACCTGACCCTCCTGGTCCTCCCTGCACTGTGCATGACACTGGCTGTCATCTGCCACTCGGTGCCCCATCTCCCAGCCGACCCTCTGCTGCCAGAATTCTATGTCACGCGTCACGTGGTGCCAGACACTCCTGGGCTTGGGACTTCGAAGCAGCTCAGATGATTTCCTTCGCATCATTTTTTTTAAGTGGTCTTCCTCAGTCAAGTGAATGAGCATGTTTAACCCTTCGAAACTCACTTTATTTCAAGGAATTCCTTTTATGGCTACACTGAAGAAAATAATTTCATTTCTGCTGTTAAATTTTTTGTTCGGTTCCTAGAAAGAAAGGCTGAACGAACGTCACTAACAGCCAATCAAATCAAAGCCTTCAGTGGCAAACTGCGGCTCCCAGGAAAGGGTGTCTGCACCCCAAAAGCCCTCTGTAGGGAAGGCAAAGCTGGCTCTGCGTCTGTCTCGGCTCTGGGTGGCCACGTGGCCCCCTGCAGGCCCCACACTCCCTCCTTGCTCGTCCTCAGAGCCTTCCTCAGCGTCTCGTCCCTCCCCTGGTCTCTCCCCTGGCCCCACCCTGCCCAATCTCCCCGCCATGCCCACTGCCACCCACCTTAAGCAGGGCTGCTGCATGTCCTTCAGGCTTTCTAACCCACTTCCTGTCCCTGCAGGCCAGGGGCCCCGAGGACCCAGAGGCCCAAGGGCCCTGTTCTGGTCCCAGGGCTTGGGGACACCCACCACCGAGGGCCAGGAGGAGGATGGACACGGACACAACCCTGAGAGCCTGGCCTGGCCGCAGCAGCAGCTCTGCAGAACCAAGGCAAGCGCTGGGGGCCCATGTCTGGGAGTGGGGGGCAGCCCAGGGGCCAGTGTCTGGAGGTCCTGCTGTCTGTCCAGCCACCCAGGACTCCTGCGTCCTACAGAAACCCTGCTGTGCCATGGAGGCTACTTACTGCTGACCCGGTGGTCATGTACTGTGTCTCCTCTGAGGCTAAGTCAGCTGGGGCAGGGCCTGCAGGGAGGCTGCAGTGTCCAGCACTGTGGGGCCTGGGGCTGATCAGGCTGGACGTAGGTGAGCAGGGTGCCTGCTGCCAGGACCTGGTGGTTTAACACTGGCTTTGCAGTGCGGCTGTGTCTGCAGCCCCAGCCCCTGCTGCCTGCCCCGGGCATGGCGCTGGCCGAGGAGGTAGCCTGGCCCTTGGGAGGCGGGGGTGCCCCAGTAGCCTTTCCCATGCTGCTCCTTTCCCTGGGCGTCGGGCACTGTGCTGAATGCTAGAGGGGCCGGCTGGCAGGGGCTTAGACTGGGCTCCCTTCACACAGTGACGGATGGGGGTGGGCGCCAAGGATGAGCAGTGTCTGGGAGGCCGTGTGATGGTGCACTGGCGGGGGGCTTGGGGAATTGGGGGACACAGGGAGGTAGGCAGGTGACCAGATGCACCTGGGAGGGTGGTGTGGGGGAGATGGTGTCGGGAAGGGCCCTGAAGGGCTGCAGGCATCAAGGAGCCCTGGAGGCTTAAAGTAGAAGTCAGGCCAGGGGAGGGTTGTTGGCTGAAGCGCAGGAAGGAGGAGGTGTCACCGCCAGCCCTAGGCTGGCAGGAGGGGAGCAGGTCCTTCTGTGGCCTGAGCTGCAGCCTCAGATGTTACATGGGGGTAGAGCTGTTCCCAGAGGGCTGCCTGAGGAATCCTGTGAGTTGCCAGGCCTGACAGTGCTCAGGGAAGGACAGTCTCCCGGGTCGTTCTGGGAGGTGGCTGGCGAGACTCCTCAGAGGCAGCAATTCCTGGTGCTACATCCTTCTCCTTGGGTAGGAGCTGATGGTGGGCTGAGGTCTAGGTGGGCCCCTGGACTGGAGCAGGTTGCAGGTTCTGACAGGGTGGGGCTGGCCAGAGCGGCTGCAGGGGCTGCTGTCACCAGGGGCTGAATCCCTTTGCCCTCGGGTGCCTGGGGCTGTGGGCCTTCTGCCCTGCAGCCTGAGGTGGGGGGGCAACTGGAGTTGGGCAGCCAGAGCTGCTGGCTCAGATGGGAGCCTCGGCAAGGGCTGCTGTGCAAACAGGGCAGAGGCTGTGACATGCAGCAGCCGTTGGCTCAGGCTGGTCTGGGCCAGCGGAACCAGTGGGCAGCCGTGAGAGGAGAGCCCCTGTCTGGATCCTGGCCGGTGCCTGGGAGAAGTCAAGGAAGAGGGTTGCAGCTGTGGCCAGCCCAGCCCCAGCCCACAGCCCTTCTAAGTGACAGCCTTGCCCTGGCCCTGAGTCCCAACTGCCTGTGGACTAAGGGAGGGTGGAGCCCCAGCCCACGTTCTCAGGGTCCTGGCCAGCTGGGGGGTACAGGAAACCGAGCGGCTGCACGTCATCAAGGGCTCAGACTGCCCAGCTCCGGGTACACCAGCTTCCCTAGGTGCCCTGGGCTCGCCGGGCGGGGAGCCCGGGAAGGACGAAAGCCGGCTAGGCGCGAGCTGGCTGCGGACACCGGCCTGCGGGGCCCGAGCTGTGGACACTGGGCCGCCTTCCGTTGTGCGGGCGGCGGACAGGGGCTGTGGCCGGGCGTGCGTCCCGCAGACCCCAGCGCGCCCGACCATGCGCCCAGGGCAGCCTCGCAGTGGCCCCGCCCCCCATGCCGTGCCCCGCCCCGGCCGCGCCCTCTCGCTCGCCGCAGCCCGCCGCGTCCCGCCCCCCGGCCGCCACGCCCCGCGCCTGCCACGCCCCGCACTTCCGGCGCCGCCGCGGGCGCTCGGCTGGCTGCGGCGCTCTGGCTCGGGCCCCCGGTCGGAGGCGATCTCGGCCGCCGCCGCCGCCGCAGAGGCTGGCCGGGTCGGCCGGAGCCGCGTCCCGCGCAGCGGCCGGTGAGAGCGGCGCCGAGCGTCGGCGGCGCCCACGGCCTGCCGCGCCGCCGCCTCGGCCGCCGCGCCTTCGCCGCCGCGATGGGGGCCGCCCCGGGCCGCGCCCCCGCGTCCGCCCGCCGCGCCGCCGCTGAGCGCATGGGCCGCGCCGGGAGCCGGGCCCGGGCGCGCCGCCGCGCGCGGTGAGTGGTGCGGCGGGCGCGGGCGGCGGCCTGCTGCGGCCGCCCGGTGTAGGCCGCGCTAGGCCGGCGGCCGCGGCGCGGGACCCGGAAGAGGGGCGGCGGGCGCGGGGCCGGGGCGGAGGCGTGCGGGAGAGCAGGCCCGCGCGGGAGGGATGCTGGCAGGCCACAGGAGGCGAGGGCCGCGGAGGCTGGGGCGTGCGAACCGGGAAGAGGGTGGGAGTGGAGGGAGCCGGGAAGACCGGGGATTCGGAGGAGGGCTGGGGTGCCCCTGGAGCCGGTGGGATTTGCTGTTGGCCGTGTTCGTTTGCAGTGTGGGGTGCAGTTCTGTAGTCCATGGGCCTGGGGGCATGCCTAGGGATGTGGGTGGGGTGCAGAGCAGCTGCTGGGGCAGACAGTGTGTGCCGGGGTCCTGGGGAGAGGCAGGACTGTGAAGCGTTGGTGCCCCCACCTCCTGGGAAAAAGTAGGAGTAAGTCTGGAACCCGGGCGGGCGCTCCCTCCCTCTCTGAGGCAGAGGTGCTGGGTTTAGCTGTGGCTTGGCTGTCAGAGAACCCAGTTGCCTGGTGTCTGTATTCCTTGAGGTTGATGCTTTGCTGCCAAAACACAGGTCTCTGCTGTGAGTCTTAGGTTCTACCCCCACCCTGCCACTGCCCACCCCGTGGAACCCAAGCTGCACAGCCAGGGCAGTGAAACTGTTAGCTCAACGTCGAAGAAAGTAGATCTATCTTCTAGGGGTTTTTCTAAGCCATCTCTAAGATAACTTATAAAGGGTTCTTAATGTGCATTTTGGCTTCTCCTTTTTCTCACACTTACCTTCTCTGCTTCTTCTGGAAGAATCTCAGGCTTACTTGGATCTATAGGCCCTGCTTTGGAGAACACATACGTAACAGTCCAAGCCTGACTACCTGAGGTAGCAGTAGCTGGGTTTCAGTTTTAAGCACTTCCATTCAGAGAGCGAAGATGAGACAGCATATGAAATAGTGTTGTGTTTGATTTTCAGCAGGTGTTGGCTTGTCTTGGATTTCTAGTTTCAGAAAAGACAAGTGGACTTTTGTGGGTTATACTGGTCATTGAGAATTTAGGTGATGGTGGAATGGGTTACATGTAAAATAGTAGCCCTAACCCTTTGAGAGTTTTAATCTGTGGACAGTTGGGAAAACGTCTGAGTCATGCTCTGTTACTTTCACACGCCACATAAATCAAAAGATCAACAGCTACGTTTGAGTCAAATCAACGTGTGTGTATGTATATAGAATCATATGTAGTGTGCTGTCATCGTGCCCAGGGTGTATGCCCTAGGCAGTGACTAAAGGGAATTTTAAATAAGGTATCAGACTTGTGGATTCCTTTTATGGAATCACTTTATTGATGGTGGTTACAGGCTGTGGGCCAGATTTGGTGCTTGTGGGCATTTGACTCTAACCTGAGTTAATATAACTGCTTTGTGCGTGGCGTGTACCTGTGTGTACGCTGAACGCTTAGTGTGCTTCCCTGTGGAGTCTGGAGATTTCAGCAACTGGAGTGTTTCGACAGGGTCAGTAATTTGTAGAGGGGTTCGTGTGCTTCCAGGTTCACCAAAAACTCTTCTGTCAGTTGACAGCCCCAAACAGATGGGAACAATAAGAAATTTTTCTTCTGGGCTCTGAAAAATAGTTTACAATGATTCGGGTAGACTTGGTTCACGTGAATTAATGTGTTAGTTTAGAAATGCAGTCTTGTCATCAAGGGCTAGATCTTAAATTTGCTTCTGTTTCTATAGCACGAGAGCTCAGCATCTGTAAAGAGCCAGCGTTTGACATTTGTGACTGGCGTCTTTCTTGTTTATGTCAATGCGTTAGGTATTTATTGGTGCCTGTTAGTTGCGAGACCTAGTGTGCTGTGGGTCCTGCTGCTACAAACGCTTCATGTAGAGAAGACATAGGCATGTTAGAGAAAGGGATGGTGACTTGTGATTAGCTCCTGTTTGAACACATTCTCAGGCTAGTTACTTTTGGTTTCCAGGGACTCGGTTTGTTCTTCAACCTAGTGAGCTACAGGGAATCTGTCAGGGTGTGGCTCAGGTGGTCCGGTGTGCAGGCCCCCCTTTCCTGAGGTGGTGTCCTGGACAGAGGACATCAGATGTCCATGAGCAGGTGTGGAGCTCTCTCCATGCCGATGCGGCTCATGAGAAAGTGACTGCGGTTGAAGCGCTCTGTAAGTAGCAGGGTGCCGTGGCCCACTGGGCCCTGACCTTAAGAAACAGACCGTTCCTGCTGAGGCCAGGATTGCAGCCTGCCCAGTAGTTTCCATAAAAAGTCATTAGCAGCAGAAATGTCATTTGGGGCACATAATTGCGACCCATCCTCCATCTGTGTGGATGCTTTTTGCTTTTAGCTGTCGGCAGCTGTTGGCAGGTGGGGACGTAGGTGTGGGGGACACAGTGTGTGCAGGCCAGGGCTTAGCAGTGTGTGGTGGTGGCCAGGGAGAGCCACTCTATGTTGGTTTTATTTTGCACCCTCTGGCTTGTTCGGTGCTCCCGGCATTTGAGCCTGACGTGCCCCATGGAAGCCCTCCCTCCGGCCCACCTGCAGCCTGGGCCACGGACATCATGGCCAGCTGTGTGGCACTCTCCCCCCTTGGCTGGGTTGAGAGGCACAGCCAGAGCTTGTGGGTTCTGTAGGCCCCTGTAGGTTGTGGCAGGAGGGACCGGACACCGTGGTGGAGGGTTCTGTCTGAATCCTGATCGAGTTTCTTCCGCATACTCCACGCAGGCAGTAGCAGCAGCAAAACCTTTAGTTCCATGACCTCTGAGAGGGTGGGTGGTTTGATTTTCAGCTTATAGAGTTAAATCGTATGGACTGTGTGCTTACTTAGCTAAAACGTGTATTTGTATGTCATTTTTTTCAGTCCCTTCAAGTACCCATTTGCTGTCAGAGGAGGTTTCCTGTAAGAGAGGCTCTAACAGTGCCACTTTCTGACAGAAGCGTCTTTAAGATTGTCTACACTGGTGACGAAAGGACACCTCTGTGTGTGGATGGTGTCCTTTGACTCAGTCCGTGGTGTCAGAGGTGACCCACAATTGACTGTGCATGATGAGAGCGTGCCTCTGGAGGCGTGCCTTGCCATGTTCGCACGTGTTGTGAGGCGTACTGAACGTGAGGAGTTGCAGCAGGCAGATGGCACTGGCCTTGGGGACATGGGACTCAGGATGCCCACCTGCCCGAGGGGCTGTGTTGTGGCTCCCTGTCTTTCTCTGAGCGTCGCTGGGGCATCTCACGTTCACACAGTAGTCGGGATGAGAAGCACCTTCCTTCAGCTCCAGCCATCCTGCCTTGCCGGTCATTCAGCTCATTAGCTGTGCCGGCAGGTCCTCAGGCTGTGGTTGGCGCTGGAGGGGAGTGGCATTCTCCGCGTTCTGGGCGTTCGCTTCTTAGTGTGAGAAGCATTCTGTAGTTGTAAAAGTTTCCAGAAATTGTTTTCACGTAGAGCAAACCTTGTGGCCAAAATATGTCTCTGTTGAACATTTAAAGTGAGTTTCTGGCTTCTAGTCTGAGCGGGAGGGCTTCGCTGCGAGTCTTGTCTTGAGAAAACCTCTGGTTCGTGTGTCCATGGACCCACCTTTCCTAATCCTTGTCCTCTTAATGGTTTCAACAGGACAGATTGATTCACTTTGGAGCTGTAAGTACTGATGTATTAGGGTGCAGCGCTCATTGTTCATTGACGCACAGAGTCCCAAAATGAATGTCCAAGAGCAGGGTTTCCCCTTGGACCTTGGAGCAAGCTTCACCGAAGATGCCCCCCGGCCCCCCGTGCCTGGTGAGGAGGGAGAACTGGCGTCCACAGACCCAAGGCCCATCAGCCATGGCTTCTGCTCTGGGAAAGGTGCCGGCGTTAAAGGCGAGACTTCGACAGCCACGCCGAGGCGCTCGGACCTGGACCTGGGGTACGAGCCCGAGGGCAGCGCCTCACCCACGCCGCCGTACTTGAAGTGGGCCGAGTCCCTGCACTCCCTGCTGGACGACCAGGATGGGATAAGCCTGTTCAGGACTTTCCTGAAGCAGGAGGGCTGTGCCGACCTGCTGGACTTCTGGTTCGCCTGCAGTGGCTTCAGGAAGCTGGAGCCCTGCGACTCGAACGAGGAGAAGAGGCTGAAGCTGGCAAGAGCGATCTACCGAAAGTACATCCTCGATAACAGTGGCATCGTGTCCCGCCAGACCAAGCCAGCCACCAAGAGCTTCATAAAGGACTGCATCGTGAAGCAGCAGATCGACCCGGCCATGTTCGACCAGGCGCAGACAGAAATCCAGTCCACCATGGAGGAGAACACCTACCCTGCCTTCCTCAAGTCCGATATTTATTTGGAGTATACGAGGACAGGCTCAGAGAGCCCCAAGGTCTGTAGCGACCAGAGCTCTGGGTCAGGGACGGGGAAGGGCGTGTCCGGATACCTGCCCACCCTAAACGAGGATGAGGAATGGAAGTGTGACCAGGACCTAGAGGAGGAGGGAGGCAGAGACCCTGCCCCCCCCAGCAGGCTCACTCAGAAGCTGCTCCTGGAGACGGCTGCCCCGAGGGCCTCCTCCAGTAGACGGTACAGCGAAGGCAGAGACTTCAGGTGAGTCCGGCACAAGGGGTCCGTTTTCTGTGCTCCCCTCCGAGACCTGGCGGACACGCGTGCGAGGGAAGGTGCTGGCCTGCGCGGTCTTGTCTCAGCCCCAGCGGAGCGCCCTGCTGCTGCTGCGGTGCAATGACGATTTTGTGTCTTTTTCACGATGCCTTCACGTTTGTCACCAGGTACTTTTTTTTTTTTAAATCACCTTGTCTTTGTCAGGCAAGGTGCTTTTTGTATTTGTAATGTTGAGAATACTTTTATTGAGAACAGACTGAAATACATGGCTTTGTGAGTCACTGGGGCCATTGGAATTCTTAGCAGTCGTGACAGTGCTTAAGCTTTACCCTTTAGCAGAGGAGTACAGCCCCAGTAACCACACAGGGACCGCAGGGAAAAGCAGTGAGACCCGGCTTCCCGCTGTGACAGCCCTCAGATTTAGTCTCACCCCTTCTTTTACGCGGAAGATAGATCTACCTGGTAGACATAATTCTTTGGGCCTAATTAAGGGAGAAGAGGACTTTTTTCTAATTAAAAATTTTTTATTTATTTATTTTCGAGACAGCGTCTTCCTCTGTTGCCCGGGCTAGAGTGCCGTGGCATCAGCCTAGCTCACAGCAACCTCAAACTCCTGGGCTCGAGCGATCCTCCTGCCTCAGCCTCCCGAGTAGCTGGGACTGCAGGTATACGCCACCATGCCCGGCTAATTTTTTCTGTTTTCATTGGAGACCGGGTCTCGGTCTTGCTCAGGCTGGTCTCGGACTCCTGTGCTCGAGAGATCCTCCGGCCTCGGCCTCCCAGAGTGCCAGGATTACAGGCCACTGTGCCCAGCCTGTAATGATCTTCTAAGGTCCTCCCTGGGGGCTGAGCAATAGTGGCGAAGAAGTTTGTGTGGGGAATTGAGAATCCTTTGAACACTTCCTGTGGCTTTGGTCAGAGTTCCAGGACTGGGCCTTTTTCCCTGCCAACACGATGTGTCAGTGCTGCTGTGTAGTCAGTCCACAGTGGCTGGGGTGTCCCGGGATCTCGTGGTGTGTGCCTACAGGCACCTGTGCAGCGTGGCACGGAGCGGACCGGTGCTGTGAGAAGCTGCCACAGCTCGGAAACCGGCTTCTCCATTCTTTTTTCCTCTGCAATCCCTACTTGGTTCCTGGAGGTTTATTTGGCTTGCGGGTTGGCATCTGTTGCACTTGTGAGCAGATCGCTTGCGTTTCCCGCTCATTTCCCCAAAGCTGGTGACGGGAGACTCCGGCCCTTTTAAGTCTGAAAGCCTGGAATCCGTGTGCCCCCTGCTGATTTAATCACGAGTCTGGGAACACAGCCCCAAGTGCTGGGACTCTCCCGTGGAGTCATTAAAACCCTGGATCGGTTCTTGAAGTTTACTGTGACAGAGAAATTGGCTACTTGCTAATAAACACAGGATTAAACATTTCTAAGGTTTAAGCTCCTTTAGTTTAAGTGATATGATTCAAGGTGAACTGTTTGAGGTAATTTTTTTCTTCCTTTTGCTTATTGCTTCTAGCCAAATGCTTTTTATTTAGCAAGCTTTTTAGGACAGAACATGCCATAAAATTACCCTGTTAAGTAAGGCCAGTATAACTGACAGTTTCTAAAATGTCACCTAAAAGTTTTCAGATTTGGTGAGAAACATTTTTAAGGTGGGACTGAATTTGAGGGCTGAGCTGTAGGGAAAAAAAAACTGAGCTCAGTTCTGACTTGTGGTTTTAGAGTCCCTTTGAGCCCCACCGCTCTGCAGTCACTGGCACGAGCCACAGCTCAGCCTTTCACTCTGTGTTGCTGTCTGTGATGAGCAGCCTTGGCCGTGAAGTCAGTTGAATGTGCTGGCTTCTCCTGTTGCTGGCACTTAGCCGGGAGGACTGTGGCACGTCTTGGTTCCAGCTTGTCCGTGTGGAGACTCTGGAGCCCGGGAGTCCTGTGCAGTGGTCCTCTCTGCCTGTGTGCTGCTTTGTGCTGCGAGGGTCTCGGTGTCGAGGCCACTGATTATTAGCGCTGGTGCGTGAGAAGCCCGGCATAGGTCGATGCTCGTGTGGACGCGTTCTCCTGGCCAGGTGAGGGTGTGTGGTCAGCACGCACCGGGCCGGAAGTGCCCGCAGGCCCGGCCACCTGGGCCTAGACCGTGAAGGGTGTCGGTGGCTCCCAGTGTCAAATGTGGCTTGTTTGGGACCCCAGCCCCCTTTCTTCCTGCTCTTCTGACTGTGCCTTCCTGGTGACCAGCTGTGTTGGAGGTGGCAGCTGCAGCAGACCCGGGCTCTGGGTTCCCTCGTCCCACAGTGAGATCTGAGTGGGGAGGGGCATGCGGGGCGCCGCTGCGTCCTGCCCGTCCCAGCAGAGTCATCACGCAAGGGCCCCAGGCTGTGTGGGGGGGCTGAGGCCAAGTAGGGCCACTCAGAAGGAAACTGAGGCACCCCATCCAGACAGCTCAGCTGCTCCCCACCGCAGGGAGTGTGGTCCTCCAGAGGAGGATTGGGGTCGCCAGGAGAGGGAAGAGGAGAGTGGGGTGAGCAGGCAGTTGGCAGGTACCCTGTGCACAGGGGATGGGCTGGAGCTTACGTTTCTCCCGCTGGGCTGCATTTCCGGAGGCCACAAGGGGTCGTCTGGGGTCCATTCTGCACGGAGGACTGCGCCGGGCGGCCGGCTCTGGTAGTGGTTCTGCCATTGGTTCTGCGGAGCTGGTCTCTCTCCCTCAGAGGGCGCCGTGGGAGGCCCAGGTGCTGGTCCTTACCTGTGTGCGCATGGTGGTCCACACAGTTGACCTGAGACCTCTAAGGAGCGAGCAGCCTCCTGGCCTTTCTCGGCACTCGCCCTGCTCACTGGGCGTCACCTGGAGGCCCTGGGCCAAGGTCTGTCATCCCTGCCTGTGCGCACAGACTCCTCAGGTCTGCACCGCCTGTCCTCAGCGGAACTTCGAACGTAACTTCGGTTGGTTCACATCCCCCATTTTAATTGGGGTGAATTGGCAGCAGGTTCTGGCTGTTTCCTGATTGGTCTGGCAGTAGGGCCGGTGGCTGTGACCCCTTACCGCAGCTCAGGCTTTACCCCTCAGGAGGCCGGCTCGCCCACCAGGTGGCATCGGGCTGGTCTCCTTCTCCCGCCAGCTCTGCTGCTGCCGCCGGCAGCCCCTCACCGCGGGTTCAGCTCTCGCTGCCAGGCAGGACCCCAGGACAGGGCCTTCCCGGGCCCCCCACCCCCACCCCAGAGGTGCTCCCAGACAGGGCTGGTCCTCACTGCCACGGCACAGCACATGGTGCAGCACGGGCCTGCTCCCAGTGGGAGCGACCTGGAGGCCTGGTGCGGCCCTGGGTCGCGGAGCTCCACCACGTGGAGCACTTGGGTCCCTTTGAGGTTTACTGTCTGCATTCCTGGTGATGGTCTAAAAGGTCAAGAGAAGAAATAGTAAAAAAAAAAAAAGAAAGAAAAGAAAGAAAGGGAGCACCCACAATGTGTTCAGAGTTTCATGTGGAAGGTTGGTTTTGGGTTTCTGCGTTGGGGGGTGGCTCTGAGGAAGGATGCCTGGCTGCAGAGGGGTGAAGGCTGCTGCGGGGAGGAGGGTGGCTCGGGGCGTGGGACAGGCTGGCTTGACCTGGCGCCGTGTCTTCCTGGCCAGTGTGGTGGAAGCAGCCCTTCCTCAGGGCCCGCCCTGCCTCCCGCTCAGCTCTGCGGCACTTGCAGTTGCTCTATGTGCAGGGTGTGAAGCTGCAGAGAGGGGTGCTGCTGTACCCCGTCACCTCCCAGATGTGTGGCTGGGTGAATGTTTTGACTGAGCAGATGATCCCAAAGCAAGGTGACTAGAGGTGTTTTGGACAAAGCCTCAGCAGGCAGCTGTGGGTTCTCAGGGTGAGAGTTGGGTGCTCGCTCACCTGGATGGCTGCAGGCTCCCCCTTCTCCACAGCAGTGCTGGGCCGGCGGGCTGGGGCACAGCGTGCAGGTGCCGGGAGAGCGGTATCTGGAGTGCGGGGTGACCGGCGCGTGGCTGGTCTCCGTGGCAGTGCACAGTTTTCTCAGAGTTGTCCTCAGGGTGTGCACATTCCTTATTTGATTCAGATCCAAAAAGAAATGTTTTCTGGTTCTGTTTGTAGATGCTCAAGGAAAACATAAAAAATTATTCCTGAACTGAGTGAGTGGAAGAACCATGTTTTTTCCACGTAAACTGTTTTTATCTGCTCTGGGAATGTTAGGCTCATGGTCCATCTCGTGGACTTCCAGCTCCACGACTCTTCCTCCGGGTGGTCGTGTGCGGTCGGCCTCCTGCCAGTTGTGTGACTGTGGGGAGGTGGCCGCACCTCTCTGCTTGTCTGTGAAGTGGGAACGCCAAAGTAAGGGCCTGCCCAGAGAGGTGGTCCTGGGCCGCGCCTGGCGGTGCTCAGACCCCCAGCACCTGCGCACAGCACACGCCCGGGGGTTCAGCTCTTCTGTGCTCCGTCCTCACCGCCGTCCTCCGGACTCACACCTGGTTTGCAATTGGCTGCAAAGGGAGGCCAGCAGGTGACGTTCAGGCTGTAATACTCGTCCTTCCGTGAGGTAGAGCATGTTGATTCCCCACCCAGACCTGCTCCTCTTCTAATCCCGTCTCAGGTGTAGCCCTCCCCCACCCCACCCATCCCCCACCCCGCCGCCAGCCCAGCCCACCCTGGGCTTCCCGCTTTGCTCACCCACGTCCAGCCCAGCAGGCCCAGGGCCCACTGCCCGCCTGGGCGCCCGCAGGAACCTTCTCACGGGTCTCTGCCCCCGTCCATTTTCCCCTGAAGATTTTCGTCCCTTCTTCCCGCCGCCAGGAGTGAAAGCCACACTCCTCTTGACAGCACCAACGCGCTTCCTGCATTTTATACCTGCTGGTGGGGTCAGACTCCAGAAATACCTTCTTTCTGCTTTAGCCGCGCAAACCCCCACAGTCTCTGACAGGTTTCAGCAGCATCCGCGGATGTGCCGGTGGCTGCCCGGATGCAGGGCTCTGTCTGGGACAGGGTGGCCGCTCTGCCTCCATCCCC